CCTCCTCTCCCTCTACCCTTGCAAAAAAATCACATTTCCACACACAGGTGAGTGATTGAAAATGCAGCAGGAAAGACAATGCCTTCAGCTATGCTCTCCAAACATCAGTTGATCCAAATAGGCATCAGCCGCATTTACCGAGACATTGGCCAGAATTCTTGCTCTTTGACTTACGACACCCTGCCCCACCTTTTGTTCACAGTGTGTATGCACCAATCTGCTTATGTGAAGACAGTTTGGTATGTGACAGGTGAGAAGACAACAGAAGGTTTACAAGCTGCATCCTGAAAGGACTGTAGCTTTCAAAGCTAAACTTAGTGCTCCAGACTCCTCAAACTGAAATCCCTGTTTCTAGCAGTGGTTGTTTTGGGGGGCATGGAATTAACCATTAAACAAAGAAAGGTTTCTCTAAATATCTTAAGCCTATCTCAGACTAAACCATTCCATTTTCCAAAATGTTCTTACCCAGAATCATTTCCTATTCAGTAATCTTGCTGGGTTGGAGCCAGACAGCTGGCTTTCATGGTAGAAAAGTCCTGCATTATCAGAAAAATTTTTAAGAAAGATTTAGGGAGAGGAAGAGTGGAGAAACTTGGTGCAGTTTTCATTAAAATGCACTAAACATTTGCAGTTGTATTTAGGTATTTTCTTGAAGCCAAGAGATTGACTTCTGCTGTTTAAGTTCACATGAAGTCCCCTGCGCAGCACCAGATTCCAAGATAACAAGTATCAACACTTTGCGTAGTTCCTTATCGCTTCGCAAAGAGTGAACTTTCCACTGGAAACCCTGCATTTCCAGAGAAATAATCTGTGCTTACACCTGCCAATCGTCAATACTGACCTCCAAGTCACAGGGTAATCTCAACTGCTCAACTTACCTCCAGGGTGTGTTGCAAGGGAGGCAGACGGCCATCTCCCTTCCCATGGCAACTCCTGCAAAGCATTTGCACCAGTGGGAATAGGAAGGCAAGATCTTTGCAATGACAGCATTCAGGCACTGTACCTCCTGACCAAAGAAAAAAATAAATACGCCAGCAGCCAGCTAGCAATAACACGGCAAACATTTACCCAGACATCTTAAGAAAAGGAAGGACAATGAGCATGGGTATACAGTGTGTGCAGAACACTAGTTGTCCCATGGCACAAATGCTCCCCATGAAGCTCAGGATGCCTGGTTACGGGTAAAGGAATTGTCCAGCAAGGCAGAGAAATTATGTGAGTAAAGCATCATGTTGGTAACTATTTCCTTTGCCTCTTCCCTCCTATCCCTTGTTGTATTTCAATTCAGAACAGGTGTCTCAAGGCAGGTGATGCAGACACATTTAGCCAGAAACTTAAAACTGTGAGGAAGGAGGGCTTTATTCCAAACTCAGGAAATCTTACCACTGAGGTGAATGCGACAATGCAACTGTAATATTCTATAAATAATCCCAAGGTCTTTTGTTACATCCATTATGTAATTCTTGCTAGTGACGGAACACTGAGCAATCCTTTCTCTTTTTAAATTCATGGAAGTGCAGGTTAGCTCTGGGCTATAACATGCAATGTGCAAATTATTTGTAGGTCTCCCTCATGATCCAGCGATTCCCAAGATCACTGATAAAAGGCAATGTCTAACAGCCTAAAATGCATCCTTTATCTGTTTGTTTGTTTGTTTTCCTCTGTAAACATAGGATCAAGAAATAATTATTTTAACTAAGAAATATTTTGACTCCTAGGTAGACAGGTGGAAGCATGTAAAGCTATCAAGTGATCAAAGCTTTCATACTGTTTAACATCATAGGCATTCAGTCAGGAAGCAGTTCCAGAACAATCAAAAAGCTACTGAAACTGGAAACATGATCTGATTAAAACATAAGAAAAAAACTCTGACCTCTTCAGAACGCGCATTTGAAAAGTCGTATTTAGTAAAGAAAGATCCCAAGGCAACATCACAAGCACCACCAAGTTTTTCGTGGAAAGAGAAAAATAACACCTCCCACTCCATCTTACTGGGGGCATGTTCCACTCCAGTTAAGCACAGCCTCAAAGCTGGATCCCATGGACCACCAGATATTGGAGCGCTCACCTCATCAAGAGCCTGAGTTGATAATCTAAATAACCATCCTGTCTCTGGCTACTTTCATCATCTTTCAATACAGCCTGCAATGGGTTCAAGGGGAGTCAGCAGACCTTGGCAGCGTGCTCTTGACCTCTAAAGGACGTTAGGCTGGTGGATATTCAAGGTGTTATTTGGGGATGTGCTACACCCCAGTCCTGCATGCACTAGGGGAAGTCACTTCCCGCTGCCTATAAATCCAAAATTCCCAGTGAAATGGGGGAGGAAAGGGTGAGGAAGGGAAGAAGGGCACTTTGCTCCCTCTTGGAGCTCCCAGTTGCAGAACCAGCCACTTGTACAGGCCTGTCATCAAAAAAGCCAAAACAAAAGGACACACACACAAGCACGCACTCTTAAAAAGTTTTTATTAATTTTCATTGTTTTGTTTTTTTTAAAAAAAACAAACCCGTCAGTGCAACAGTTCAGTATCCCCTTCCTATCCCCCATCAGTAAGCAGTAATTTTAAAATCAGGAAATACCGAGTGCTGAAGCCAATGGGTTAGCATTTTGCTATTATTTCCTTCTGTCAAACTCTGAAAAAGTCCTCTGTATAAATTAAACAATGAAAAAAATGTTATTTTCAATTCTATGTCATTACAGTCAACAGAATCATAATAATGCATCTAAAATGTGTGTCCACAATACATCAGGTATACATTTTTGGGAAAAGAAAAAAAAGGAAAAAAAAATATGACATTCTAAGCTTGTTAACAAGGATAATGGTCCCATATTTTTATTAACAGGTTAGCAAAACAAAATCAAATGGATTACAATATTTACATGTTATTTGAAAAATAAAGTAGTGATAAAAGCATGTCACAATCATTTTTTTTTTCTTTTTCATTTTTGGTAACCATTACAAACACCCAATCCAGGTATGGAACTGTTTAAATACATTTGAAATGAGGCCAATTAAAAAAAACAAATACAGACACAAAATGTGTATTTATACTTGTCCCTCCAATGTGTTTTTTCATTACTTCCCCTCCCTACTTCAAAAAACAAAACAAAAAACAACAAAAAAGTCAAAATAATCCCCCTAACACACAACTGATGAATCCCCAAAAGCAAAACACCATGCTTCTCAAGTAGCACTTATTCCACAAATGCAACATTTTTGCCATCAATTTTATGTGAAGCTTTCTAGGACACCGTTTCCTCAGCAGCTTCCTATTTTCCCCCCTCCCCCTCCCCCAGATCCCCCCTAAAACAAAAAAAACAAACAAAGACACATGCATTTCTAAACTAGGTTTCAGTCAAGTACTTTCTACTTTTTTGGAAAGAAACATTTTTTTTTTTCTTTTTTTTTTTCTCTTTTGTTCACAATCAGAACATACCACGGGCAACAGATCCTGTATCTATTGCTCAGGCAAAATCCCTGCCAGTTTTGGTAGGTTTTCCACCCAAGAAGTTGCGCAGGATCAGCCACGTAGGTACGCATGTTCTTATTCATTCTATGCTGCTCCCCTCACGCTAAAAGCTTAAGGAGGAGGGGAAAAACTTAGCAACTCCACCTTGAATCGAGTAAAAGTAGTTCTCCAGGCTCAATGTCGTGTGTAACGATTTCACCTCCGCTTGCAAAAAGATGTGTTAACAGACACCCTTCCCTCCCACCACACCGAAACTAAAAGAAAACACGCACACCACAGACGGAAGAAAAAAGGCAGCCAATCTTAACAAAAAGTTACTGGTGTGAGACTGATAGATGTTAATATGACAAGCAACAGAACGGTTATGAGGACCTATATGTCTGGCCCGCGAGCTGCATAGCTGTGCCGTAAGTTTGGTTCTTCAGTTTGTATTTTTTTTTTTTAAAAAAAAAAAGTTAAAACTTTTTTATCTCCATATGCTCAAAATTAACGACGACAACAACAACAACAAAAAACTTCTATTCACAAGGTCTAGTCTCCTTTCCCTGTCCCCCCCTCAAAAAGAAATACTCATTTTACATGAGAAACTTAATTGTGCTGTATTTGTAACACCTCAGGCTGATATTAGAAAATAAACATGTGGCAAACAAAACCGCACAATCAGTCACATGGTATCTATCAAATCCTAAAAATATAACTGAATACTAACAAACAGCTTACCTGGAATAAAGGATGACAATTCACAAACAGTTATCTAGGAATTAAAGTCTCTCTCTTTTTTTTTTGTTTTTTTTTTACTAAAATAATTAAAAAAATCACAGTATTTTAAGAAATAAAACCCACACTGGGATTTTAAGCACAATTTGTGTTCCTTTCTTTAAAACTTTTTTTCTTCCTCCATTCACCACCTTGCCCAGCAGTCTCTCTACATTTAACCACAACAACAACAGGTAGTACTGACAAATGCAGAGATCTCCCTTGGTTAATTCTGAGGTACTAGGAAACAGGTGACTGTTTTAAGCAAAGCAGTTTCTGTTTTGTTTTGTGGTTTTTTTTGTTTTGTTTTGTTTTTTACTCTTTTTTTTTTCTTTTCTTTTCTAAAGCAGTTGCATTCAGTCTGGAAAAGCGTTATGTATTAAAACTAGAAAAACGCACACAAATTTGTGCGTTGAAAGTTGTCCCCCCCTCCACTTCTTCCATGCTCACGACGCTTCCATTCACAAACAATCCGAGTCTCCACTGCAAAGCATGATGTGTAATGTCGGGACACGGGGAGTTGCTTCATTAGTCCAAGATGAACGTAACTTCCCATTGTCAGGATCCAGAAGAGAAGATGCAGTGATGTAATGGAGCCACTTATTCCATCACTTAAATAACTTTAATATACACACACTCACACGGGTACCAGTGCTTTGAAAATAGATCATTCAGTCCTAAAAGCAGCTTTATGTCTTCCTTCTGCCCGCCCCACCCCACCCACCCCACCCCATTCATCGCTGTTCAAGTACGTTGTTTAGAATCACACCACATGCCTATTCAATTTTGGCCTCTGAGTTGTCTTGGAGAGGTTTGTCAGCAGCGACCACGTTGACTGCTGTTTCACTGTTGTGGGAGTAGTCCACCACCATTTTCTCAATGTCTTCTTTTTCTTCTGGCAGTGTACTAACAGTTTCTTCTACGTCTTCCTTAGGCTGGCTGTCCTCACTGGTCCTGTGCTTGCTTTCGTTCAGCGCCCTGGAAAGCACGGCAGCAGCAAACAGAAACGCTTACAGGTGATACAAAGAACAACAGCAAAGCCAACGTGTACGTATCACACAAGGGGGAAAAACTGATCGCTAAAAAGGGAAACAAGCAGCCGCACCATTGCCACCTCATGCTCAGGTGGAGAGGCAGCAGAATGAAGTTACCAGCGGGACCCATGATATTCCAGCTTTGAAACCAAATCTTCATTTGCTCTACACTGAGACAGACCGGAGATGAGGGGAAGATCCTCAATTCTGACTTATAGAAGTTTATTCCCCTTTCTCCAGACTTACAAGGCACCAGACAAAGGCACAGGAAAAGAGTACTTTTCCCACAGAGTTAATGATTCAATAAATTTTTTACTGGTTGCAACATTTCAAGTACTCAGGAGACAAGATTAAGGGTAAGAGAAGTGGTATTCCTCATCCCATCACAGTTAATCTACAATATTGTATTCAAATGCCTTCCACAAGTCCGTATTTTTGAAGCAACTTTGGTCAGCAGAGATCTCTGGTACCGATGAGATCTTCGTCAAAAGGAGGAAAAACAATTGTTCCAGAGATGCCTTTCTTATTTGTGATGCATACCATCCCACAGTGTGCAAATTTCTATAGAAAGGCAAAGATTTTCACTATGAAGATGAACTAGTGAACTTCACTATGCATGTTTTAGGAGGAGTTCGTTCAAACTGGTTCTACTTCCCTTGAAGGTCTGGACTTTTCTCTGCACATAATCCTTTGCACTGCTACGCAAATTGAGCTGTAAGCACGCGAAAGCGGTGTAACAATAAAGGTGTGTGTAGGGGGGAAACCCTGTTCCTTGTATTTTTCGTATAATTTTCTCCCATTTTTATGTCGCTCTGCTGGCACACAAAATCAACAGGACACTGAGATAAAGTTAATCCTGGCCACATGGTATTCACCTTGGGATAATCTTGAGTTTCACAACCACAGTTAAAACCCTAGAGTCTATAGCCAGAGTTAAAAAGGATGAACAGGAATTTCTAATGCAGAGGCATCTGATGGCTGTATCCACACTTGTGACAGACAGAATTGTTCTTCATAGAACTGTGTTTGCCTTCATAATGGGGCTCTCTGAGAGGAGAGGAAAGGAATGGGGTGGGGGGGAATGCACAGAGATTTACTGTTCCCTTTGGCTGTTTGGCGAAGGAATGTAAACCAACTTACATGCCGTGTCTCAGCACGTGTCTCTCCCACTCAGAGCCTTCTGTAAATGATCGGCCACAGAACTCGCATGGGAAGCGCTTCTCTGGAGCACCGCTGTCAGGAAACATCATGGGATCTGCAAAAAGACAGCACAGCCTGTGCATTCAGAAGTGCCAGGGCAAAAAGGGACAACTGTGATCCTACTCTGATCCTCTCTGATGCACCTTATCCCTGAGAAGCAAAAGGACTAACCTGCCCAATAACTGCATTTATGAAAACACAACTGCCCCAAAGCAAAGTGACACCGCAAGTGACAAATCGCATCCTAAGTCTAAAAGCATCTGTGAAAGTAAGGGTAATAAGTTGCTACTCCCTGTCGCTGCAGTTCAACAAATGAAGAGACGGCAGAATTTTAATTCAAAGCCAAAACTGGGAAGTTTAGGACTCAAATGACTTGAGAGCAAACCCAAAAAACTCACTAAAGCCCATCTGTAACGCCTGAATTGATAGTAAAAATAATTTAGGAAAAGAAGACTTGGCATATTTAACAAGTGATCCTCATAATAGACATCTCTTCATCATGAAGTCTCATGGGTTACATCCTGCATCTTAACTGCATAGGTGTTTCATCCCATCCTAATCTTTTATACAAAGTGCTTGAGGCCTCATTTGCAGAAGTGTCAAGCACTTAGTAATACAAGTCAAGTCACTGGCAGCTCAAGGAGCAGTATTTCTGAAAGCCAAACTCCATAAGAACGCAGCCAGCTTTAACAGAAGATGAAGCATTTTCTCACAAATTAAGAAGATCACCACACAAGCCATTAAAAATAATTGCATGGACTATCTCACTTGATTCTTTTGCTGGAAATGAGACAGCACCATCTGCTCACAGCATTAATTCCTTAGCAAGGATTATCCTAAGGAAGAAATCAACAGAACATCTTTCTGACTCCTCCCAAAATACAGAATAAAAGGGATTTTGCTTCATTTTGCTTCTGATCTTTGCTCACTTGATTTCTTCACTCTCGGATTTACTTTGTTCAAGGTCAGCCTATGAACTTAAAATTGCCCACACATTCCCTATTATCCATATGTAAGTCCTGTAAATGTCTTTTGGTGACATATTTCTCATTAGTTGGCCTTTACGAAAGTTACATATGAAATGGTTCTTAACATCATATTTTGCCTCTTCCCTCTGAAACAAAAAACTCAGTTTGCATTTCTTACTGTCAGTGATTTATCGTGCAGCTAAGTAACACAAAGCAAGGCAGTGTGTCCAGAGCAACACCAGAAAGTAAGTCAATGCCACCAGTTCAGCTTCCATCTGGATTTTAGTACCTTATGTGCCATACAAATTCATAAACGCACCGCAACACACAAACTATTCATGCCACAGGGACAAATATTTATGGAGGGTTTTTTCTCACTTTTTTTTTTTCTTTTTACAGGATGCACACCTTAAAATACAAAAACATTTCATGTAAACAGTCTTTTTTTCAATCACATAGATAGTATGCACATTTTGAAATAATACTAAAACAACGAACAAAGCTTTCCATATGTTTTGGGGACAGAAACATTCCTTTGACTGGCACTGAGGAGAAGGTAAAAGTTTTAGGGGCAAATGCTGCTGTTCTGTACATGACCATACGTACTGTAGAGTGCACAACAGGAAGTTTATTTTAGACCTCTGCAGAGAGGAGATACTCGACATAGGGAGTTGGCATTGGTCAGCCTGGAGAAGTCTCTGCGGAGACCCTGTTGCAGCCTTTCAAATCTTAAATGGGGCTTAGGAGAGAGACACTGTACCAAGGTCTGTAGTGACAGGACAAAGGGTAATGTTTTTTAATTGAAAGAGGGTAGGTTTAGCTTGGACATAAGGGAGAAATTTTTTAACACAAGGGTGTTGAGACACTAGAACAGGTTGCCAGAGAAGGTGTGGATGCCCCATCATTAGAAGTATTCAAGGTCAGGTTGGACGCGACTTTAAGCAACCTGATCTGGTGAAATATGTCTCTGTCCAGAGCAGAGTATGATCTTTAAAGGACCCTTCCAACCCAAACCAGTTAATGATTTATACACGGAACTCCCATTAAGATTAGCAACTGCTACTCTAATAAATCCATCACCTCTTGAGAAAACACTATCCTGTTTGCTCTACTTCCCAATCAGTCTTACTCCTAGGGGTGTGAATTAGAACCGCTTCCCTGAAGGAGTGTCAGAAGCTGCTCTTCTCCGGGGCCTGCTGAAAAGAGGTAACAGACTGCACAGACACTTGACCTCTCTGTGGTTTTCCTGCATCACACATGCAAGTGCTCATGCACATCTATTTTTGTCTACTGTGAAAAAACACCTCTTGATTCCAGTTTCTGCTAAGACGAAGACATAAAGGTCAGCAAAGACAAGACAGTCGCTCTACAATGCAGTCTCTACTGGCGAAGATGCTGTTTCCATGGTGTATGCCAGAGGCCTTCTTTTTTCCCCCCTCATCTTCTTCCATCCAGATCAATGTATTTTCAACTATCCTTTACCAGTAGCCAACAAGTTCTTTCTCGTCCCACCCAGGACAGCAGTTCAGCTCTGCTGAGCTCTGCTGCCCAGTTCTGCCTGTTCACACAGGCAATAGTCCACTGTCCAACAGCCCATCTGGGGAAGCAACACACTCTTCTTGCACCTTCAGTGCTGCACATGACAGCCTGAAGTCAAAGTGGTGAATCTTGGGAGCTGTTTGTCTCATGGGAAGAAATCCTGGTTCTGCCAAAGTCACAGACTTCAGAGGGTTCAGACAGCATTTGCTTCCAGATACTCGGAGCACAGAGAGGCACCCTCAGCAAATCCCACTTCCTGCTAACACCACAAAGGCTGAAATTGTCAAAAGCACCCAAGTGGCACACAGGATTACACAGTTTGATGTGGTTTGAAAGCTGTGACAGCATTAGCCACTGTGACAGGCTATATTTATAACCATAGGTCTGGGCCTCTGCTAACAGGGAAAACCATTTCTGCGTTAGATCTATCTTCTAAAAATCCATAGGGAGATCACAGAATCACAGAATTGTCTAGATTGGAAAAGACCTTTAAGCTCATCGAGTCCAATCATTAACCTAACACTGACAAGTCCTTGATGTCAGCATAGAACACAGCATCCAACCATCCCTTCAGTTTCTGTCTTAGCTGCGACTTTTTTCGAAAGCGCACTTCGGATTTTCCACCTTACAGTGGTAGTCCACAACTTGTATAGAAAAATAGCATCAGTACAACTGGATCTTTTCTGAATACCCATGCTGTAGTAGAGACAACAGCTTTCTGCATTTTTTCCACCTATTTATTATAATATATTGCAAAATAGTAACAGATTACAAAGAAGAAAAAATAACAATGGTGAAACATTGACCCTACAGGCCAGTCAGGAAAGAACAGCTGCAAAAAAACCTTGGAAGCATGCATTTTTTTTCAGACTGGTCAACTGAACAAGCATGCAGAAATCATTTTAGCCGGTCACAGATTAAAAAAACCCACAGATACAAGTGAAAAAAACAAAGTTCAAAATAAACACTAGAATTATTAACACACTATTGCTTGCTTAACTATTCATCACATAAAACATGGGGATAACGCTTATCTATTATCCCTGCAAATTTAAATGTCCAGGATAGAGGGTGATATTTTTACATTTTCATGGTGTAACTGAAAGCCAATTTAAACAATGACCTTCATCTTGGTCTGTACCGCTCCACATGGTGCATTTACAGTGATTTGTAAGGCTCGGCAGATAGCACCCTCTTCTCCTTGGTCTAGATACCATGGCTTCCAAGGTCACCTCAGCACCTGTGCTTGTATGTAATAGTGTGGTAATCCTCACAAGGACAGCTTGACTCTTCATCCCCTGCTAGCTCTGAGTCTATACAAAACATTAATCAGCCTGTTACACCTGCAACTAAGGTGAGCTGGTCCTTTAGTCACATCATTACGCAAACACTGTTCCAGCCATGAAGCTCTGAGGGTCAAAGCTGTCCTCGAACAGACACCCAAGCATGTTTCCAAACGAGCTACTAATTCTGAACTTTGAAATGCATACAGAATAAATATCCCTTTAGGTCCCCCTTTGATTTTTCAATTGCTCTACCTAAGGTCTTGCTAGGGATATTTACCTTTAAACCATAAGTGTTTTCCTTTTCAACTCACTTCCTTTTTCATTTAAAATAAAGCTATCACAAACCACACTTGAAGTGCTGGTGATAAGTATAGACCAAATTCATGCTGCAGGGATACTAAGCAAAAGCCATGATTCTGGGATCTTGCTATTAAAAGCTAAGAACCCTGACCCGAGCCCCTCCTCTTCTCTAAATAACCTCTAAATCCAGAAATTAGAATTTTTCAACATCTGAAAAGATACGGGAAGACACAACTTCCGTGAACAATTCCTGAGTGAGTCTGAAAGCTGAAAATTACTGGTGCACCTTCAGTTAAAGTACACAGAACTTGCCCAGCTGCAGTCATTAGCATTAAGAGGGAGAGTGACCCCAGAAACCCGACATTCAGACATCACAGAGCTAAAGATGTTAGAGAATTGTGAAGATACTGCATTTGACTGATCAACTGCACAGCAGAGCAGATTACGTGACACACAGTTTACACCAGATACTGCAATAACCTGATTTTCAGGGGGGAAGGCTGTTGGAAGGGATGGACAAGAAACCCTTAGTTCAATTTACAGAGAACTTACCTTTACCCTGCTGTTCTAACTTTGACCAAACAAAAAACATTAGCAATTAGATTGGCTAGCCTTGCTGTAGTCAGTGGGATTGCACTTAAGATATGAACTTAGGCACACATTTAAACACACAACGGTACAGGTGGCACACGGAGCTACCCTGGCTCCAACAGGACTGACTCTGACAAGGAAAGCTGGGCATAGTTAACAGGCCATTGAGTAGTTTGGCCACAAGCCCCTCATTCCTCCCTTGAACAATGTAGAGTGAAAAGTTACCAAAACATAAAATCTGACAGACTACTAAAATACCCAACTTACGTAGCTTTCCAAGCCCTTGTAGTTGTTATCTGCATGGGCAGAAAAGTCACAGATGCTATCTGTGTTTTCTCATAGTAGGTATTTTCTTAACAGACAGAAAACTTGTAATAAGGATTAGAAACATGAGAGTCCCCCAGGAGCAGTGTCTTCACAAAAGCCCCATTCTGCTCCTGCTGGCATGCCTGCATGGCTCTGCAGGAATGTGCTGCAGAGTCAACAGCTGACCTTACTTGGTGGGACTGGTGGGGTGTGCTGCAGTGCCAGGAAGAAAATAAAAATAAATAAAATGAAGAGCTGCACTGACCTCTCTCTTCAGTCTTGGGGCTTAACTCGTCCTCTTTTTCTTCATCATCACTGCTGGAGCTCTCTGTTTTCCCCTTCATTTGTTCCAACTGGTCCAAGTTAACCCGTCCAACCAGCTCAAAATTACGACTCACCTTTGAAAGAAATACTTCTCTCAGCAATTAACACAATCATCAGCTCATCAGAGAAATCATCATATATACAAACAAAATCAAGTACACCCCAAAGTCTGCTCAGGTACAGGTGACATGCTGTCACTTCATCAATACTCATTTCTTTTCAATTACAGTTATTCTTCTTTTGCTGGTTATTCTGCATTTCTCATTTTTTGGTTTTCAGAAAATTAATGACATTCAGTAACTCCCTGTTAACTTCTTCCTAATTTTTGATGTATTAAAGCAAACAAAAGAATCCAGAAAATGAAAACCACTTTAAGTTGTATCCTCTTTTTGTGAGACTATTTAACTGCTGTGATCAAACACTGCTACTGCACATCCACACCAAAAGAAAATTCTTTGTTTCTGGTTCATTCAGCTTCATTCATGAAAGGATGAGTCTTTTACTAAGCACATGGCTGCTGTGTGCCACATACACTTCCAGTCATTAATAGCAGGTTAATTTTCATTATGAAGGGCTGCAAAGTGCTTTGCAAACGGATAGACTATAATGGGAACACTTCACTCACTAGTCAAATTCAGCTAACCCTAGGGTGAAATGCACCAGCTACTTAATAGCTCTTACCAGCTCTATGAAAGTAGCAGCTTAGGGCATAGAAATCAGGAACCCCACCACATCCAACAGAAAGAGTAGAGGAGCAGTCCAGATTTAAAGTAGCAGCAGACAGCGTGGAGCATGACCAGGACACTAGAGCTAATACTTGTTTGGATGACAAGTGTCCTCTGAGCTCATTGGTCACTGCTGGGAAGGATTTTGGATTCATCTTTCATGTAGGGAGACAGCCCTCCACAGCACAGGCACTGAGCCACGGAAGCAGAGAGGATGGAAACAGAGGAACGAGCGCAGTACAGCACCCCCTGCAAGATGCTGAATGAGATATCAACAGCAGTTGACTACTTTTTATTCCTCTGTGGGAAAGGGAATGTGAATGAACCTAATGAGCATGTGAATTAGACAGCAGTGTACATCTCCAAACAGCAAGTTATCCTAAATGCAGATTCCTAGTACTACTCTGTATACAGACAGCTGTGATGAGGTTCCCCAACTGAGATTTAAACAAAGAAGATCACATGCAAGGCGCTTAACCCAGCTCATGCACAAGGTGCAGTACATATTTGGGTTTCTGAGTCCAGAACTTGCATACAGATTAGTGAGATAGGAACTACCAGAAAGAAATGGGGAAAAGACACCCTAAACTACTGGCACCATTACTGCAGGTCTGGATTGGAAGCAAGAGCTAAGTAAGGGAATAACCTTCCCATCCCTGATGCACTGTGTCAAAACAATGAGGGCTTCCTAGATATGCCAGGTGCCTTGCTGTGGTGACTACAAGGCTTGGAGCATCTCATGTATTGTGTGAACTGCAGAAGACTCTCCAGAAGTAATAAGGTAGAGGGCAGATAAGCACAGCTGGCCAATATAAGTTTACAGAGTTTGTTTTTATAAGACAGCCAAATATTTTTTAAGCACGAAAAGTTTTGCTGGGACTTCTGCTGATAATACTGTCAGTATAAACGTATCTGGCTGTAAGGAAAGTGTCATTCAGTCAATGAAGCAGGAGTGCGTTTTTGGTGAGGACCTAGGCAGCTCAGCTCCAACAGGCGGAGGTATACAGCTGCCTTCCCTGGAAATCTGACAAAGAAGCACTTGTAACAAATGCTCCAAACCACATCTCAGTTCTAGAATTTAAGTGTCCCTCAGCTACATAGCTCTAAGTTACAGAAATTCAAAGCTAATACTCTGTGGAAAACCTCTAAAGACTTCTCAAAGACTGGATCAGGTCTGCACCCAGGCACTCCACTAAAACTACAAAGCTTGGGACCTGGTTATATTTGCTGTTTATCTTTCCCTTGTTAAATGTAAATGGCGATGTATTGCCTTCTTTGTTATTAAAATATGCGTGGCATGTTACACTGCTGAAGTTGCCAGAGCAATCTTATGTTTGGAATCTCCTGACTTTTAGAGAGGCTGAATCACACAACCTTAATATTGTTTCACAACCCTTTCCCCGCCTCTCTTCTTTAAATAAACCTAGCATACACAACTGCCTTTTCCAGATAATCATACTCCGCGTTCAATAGGCTGCCAATTCTGATCAACCTGAACAACTTTAGAAACCCTCAATTTTGAGTTTCTAAACAAAAAAAGAAAGAATACAAAACAGAGGAAGTGAAGCCCAACAAGGGATTAGTTTCCACATTTGGGGAGAAAATAAAAAAACCAGTGGCAAGCTGGCTACTGAGAGATGACATGCAAGTAAAATAGTACACAATTGCAAGGAATAGATTGCTACAAATTAAAACTATTGGGATGTTACCTTGTGCTCATCTCGAAGGTGAGCGTCCAGCTCCTCTGTGTGTTTGGTCTCATAGTAGCAGAGTTGGCATTTGTAAGGTTTCAGTTCATTGTGCTTCTCTATGTGCTGCTGCAAGCTCTCATCGCTGGAGCAGGTAAAGGTACACTTATCACAGCGGAAAACAACTCCCTGCAAGTACTTTGACAGTTTGGAACGGCAGACTTCAATGGGAACGACCCGCTCTTCTGTAGGGACAGGATGGACAACATTCACTTAACAAATTTTGTGAAATACCATGTCCATATGTCAACAGTTTGGGCACTACCATCCACACAGGGAGTAGGATCTGCTATACGGGCAGCTGTACATCTATAACGGAATGGGAGCTAAGCCGGGCCAACACAAAAAAACCACAAGAAAACAATTTTCCCTGCAATGACAAGGTTAATCCTCCAAGGTTGGAAATGCAGAGGTCCTCACAAACATAACTGGTTGGCAAGGATGGGAGTGGAGGTTCTGGGGCAAATGAGGTTCCATCCGTGAGTCAGAGTAGCTAAGTTCAGGAATATAAAACCAGCCATAAATCAATCAGACCAAAAGTCCATTTTGGTTCAGAATTTGACAGCAGGGAGAAATATCTGCTAGAAACGTAAAAAAGGGAAGCTGCAGGGTGCTTCCCAATATATCACCCTGCTAACTCTATATAATCAGAGCTAATATCCTCACTATCACATCTAAAGCTACTCTCTGGGAAATCAGAGGGTAAGCAAGGCAGCACCTTTTCCTGGAAGAGGCTGTGCAGTTCAGCCACAGGCAGAAACTTTCCAGCAGAATCACAGCTTTCAGAAAGCCCCAGTTCAAAATCTTTCACAGGTCATGTCATACTTCCCACAGTTCAGATCACTGATACAGGAGGCATATACTGAAAATGCTCTTGTTGAGCTTTTAAACTCTCCACTTCTCAAGCAAAGCACTGATGTCTAACAAGGCAGCAATTAATTTCAGTCATTTGACAGAGTTAGAATCTGACGTGTACAAATAACACTCATCCACTGTGGTTACTTGAGCTGTGCGCACAAGGGAAACCCCAAATCTGACCCATTAGCTGAGGGTCACCAGAAGATCCTCATTATAGGCTTTCATTACCCAAGTGGCCTTCTGAACTAGAACAATGAAATTTAGTATTGTTACTCCTTGTGGACTGCAGATTAAAGAAGGAGCTTCCATCATCCTCATGCAGCTCACTAATAACAGATTAAAACAAATACGCAGAAAAAAACGAGACCTGAATCTCAGATGGTAGACACGAAGGCTAGGAAAATGTGTGACGTGGCAATCCACATACAGACCTGAGCTGATGGGCTCTTTTCTTTAGTAAGGAGGGTAATATAACATCCAAAGATAGCTACAGAAATACAAACTCCATTGGGGTTTCTGAAAGGTGGCAAAAGCTCCACTGTTCATTCCTTTTTGGCCAGTCCATATGCCACCGCTGCTCACAAGAATTTTTCCTACAGTCCAAGAAAATCCTCCATCCTGCTCAGCTTCTCCCTGAACAGAAAAGTTATCCTATCTTGTAACTTCCTCTATGGCCACTTTAGAAAGTGGAAGTTTTCCCAAAGTCTTGAAAAAACCACCCAACAGTGGATTTTTAATTCTTTGCTATACCAACAACAGCTTCTCTAGCTATAAAGCCACCACTTGTAGCCATTCAGGGTGGGAAAAGGGAAGAGGAGAATAGAGTCTACCTAACAGACAACAGAATTTAAAGCTGTGATTCCAGGGTCATAGGAAGACTTTTTATAAGGTTGTTGGAGCTGTGAGTTTTTGAACTCACCGAAGTAAGTGATGCAGTCAGTTTCAAAAGTGAAAAAGGTAACTGTATTTTTCAAAAGGAGAAATACTAGTTAAAGTATCTGAAAATCCACTTGTCTTCTAACACCTGGCACACATTAAAAAAGCTAAAACACGGGATGGTATAAAAGTTTTTATCTACCAGTCTGGAGTAATGTAGCATTCCCTAATTCACATTAGAAAAATCTATTATCACACATACATTCCCCAAATTAAAAGCAGCACACTAAACATGAGAAAAGCAAAAAAACCATAAATATCAATTCTAGCCTGAAGGATTTCACTTTCAGGGGATAATTTAAAACTTTTACATGGTGTATTCATGTCAGTGAGCTTCCTTCAAACAACAATTTCAGATCTTGCAGCGTTATTTGGATTCAGAACCTCACATTTTGTAAGGTGATGCTCTCATCTCCAGCTTGCCTCTACAAAGCTCTGTTCATTTAATTACTCATTTAGACTGCCTTTATCGTATCTGGACAACTGACAATATTACAACAAACCATAAAGCCCCATACACAAATGGAAAGAGGTAGCTTCTTTATCCATGTGTAGGCTTCTTCAAAATTCAGCAGTGTCTAAATAAAGACTACAGTATATGCATCACAAAAAGATGTCCTGAACTGTGTAACAATTTAGCTAGAAGTGTTAATTAAAAAACAAGAACAAAATAAACACCTAAACCCCACCGTACTGGTTTAGGGAATCCAATCTACCCATTAAACTCAAATATTCAGGCTAGCTGTAATGCAGATCAGGGGTTAAACTGAAAGGCCATTAACACACTAGGTATTTGCACCATACATTTTCTTGCTCCTGGCATAAAACACCCGGCAATTCTATCAGTCCTCAGTTGTAAGGAAAAAATCTTCACTCAGCAACACACCACAGCATAGACAAATTATTTCCTTCCCTTAAAGGTAAACCGAGTACAAACAAAAACGTCCTACTATCTAGACACAGACCAATTATTTGGTCATGTTGGGTGTTTGAAAGTATGCATTTTTGCCTGCAAATTCAAGCTACAGTCACAGAACGTGTAACATTTGCATTCCAGTAGCCAAAAGCAAGCAAGAAGCTGTATGTAGAAGGGGTAATGCCAGAAACAACCACATGCAAGGAATCAGGACACGTAGCAATGAAGCCTTTGGGGAGGTAGATGAATTTGAAAATTTGACTTTTTCATCTTAAAGTTGCAGTTACTAATCAAGAGAAATGGTCTGATTTCTATTAAATGGAAGAACAAAATCACTACCCATATCAGGAAGGGAATACAATGACTGCTAAAAAAAAGGAAAAATAATGCCGTTAAGGATTTCAAAGTAGATCCAATAGTGATCTTGGTAAATTCCACTCAGGTCTCGAAAATATCAATGCATTTCAAAATATGTGATGGGAATGCTACCAGTAGGAATGATGAAAGTCAACTGCATTGTCGAAATTAAAGGCCAGCACCTCTGCTAGCCAGGGAGCAAGAGTTCACTGTCTCCTCTATGTCTTCTCCCTCCAGGCTTGTCTGCCAAAAGGGCCAGGAAGAACTCTAGAGCCAAACTTCTCTTCACCTACCTGCACAGCAGCCTCCACCTGTGTCAGTCCCCTGCTACAGGCCACCTGCAATGAGTCTGTGCTCCATCTGTACCCAGAGAAGGGATGGTGAACCAGTTTTATAGTGATGAGGAACAGGTGATGAGGAACAGGTGAAACATGGAAGAAGACTCTTGGAAGCTTCCTGTTTGCCCTCATTCTTAATGGGAAGTGAATTTCTTGTCTATTTTTTCTCAATGGGAATTCAGGCTTCTAGCTGATACTGCTTGAGCCCTGTAAAATTCGGCTTCTGTAGCCACTCATTAACAGGCAAACATACTCTCAATTTCAAGCACACGCTGTTTCACCAAGAACCAGGGGAGCAGCAACTTGGAAGTAACATGAGTCATGCATCTGCTATCATGTCTTTTACACAGAAGGAACATTAACTATGAATGGATCAAATCCTTCACTCTTGATTTTACACACTGCATCACTCCATCTCAAAAGTAATTTTCTTGGACCACTGCTCTGGTTATGCCCTTGTTTTACCAGTGCAATGGTTATAAAAAAGGGAGGCTAACCAAGACTACATTCACCATCCCACTGTCTCTTTCTCAGTACATGCTAAATCTTGTCAAAATTGTCTGCCCAAGCTACCACACAATTAAACTTAATGGTAGAGTGTTTTTTTTAGCTGAATATATGCACCAGAAAAAGACTTTAAGGAAGGATGCAACTTCCTTTATTACCTGGATGCTTGAAGCCAGAGAAAACCTCCGTCCTTCTCTCAGTGGCCTCTGAGATTCTTTATCAGCTACAACTCCATTTGAATTAAAACTTCTTTTACTTTGTTTTACCTCTCCCAATGTTCTAGTGGATACACCACTACGTCCTTTGTTACTAGCTTTGTTTCACTAGCACAAAGGCTCGAGGTTGGTTTGTGCAACTAAAGCAAGCAACAGCTCTACAAAAATACAGATGGACAGTGTCACTTACCCAGGAGGTAACCACCTCTTTGCAATTGGTCAGAGACAGATCTGTATAGCATGATCTTATGAAGTGCTCCTCCATGTCTACAATTGGACATTCCCAGTGTCAAGTCTATGCAGAATGAGAAACACCCTAACTAGGCCCTTCCAGTTCTCCCTCAAGCCTGTCTATCTGTATTTTAAAGGTATAGCAGTGTCCAGCCAGTGGAGCCTTGGCTCAAAACAGAGTGCACCTCGCAGCACTTGGAACCACATGGTCCCCTGCGAAGCGGTTAACCCTCCTCTCCTCTAAAGTGAGCTAATTCTGGAGTATGCCCTGAAGCTGGGTAAAATCCCACAGAGAAACACCTTCAAAGACAGGAAGTAAAAGCTAAAGCATCTGCCAAGCTCTTACAACCAAGTCAGGCAGCTCTGTAATGTGCTTTCTGAATCACTGACAGGTCATTTTACCCAGATGTTCCATAAGAAAAGCCCTGCTAGCAGACAGAAATTTGTATGAACTCTGCCAGCCTCACTGCTTTGGTACAAGAAGGACTTTAAACTACCAACACTCAAAAATGGTACGTTACAAGGAATTACGATAGCACTTGTCACACCAGGATCTCCTCCAGGAAAAAGATGGCATGCAGAACTTGTGTTTGCTCACCACCAATACCCTACTGTGAAACTCTGCCCAACCTGCAAGCAGGCAGAGTGCCATCCCAACACATGGGTTTGGATTTCAGCAGCCAACAGACCATCTACAAGCATCAAGTGTGATAGCTATGGGCAGGAATCCCAGCCCAAAGAACCCAAACAGCTGTCTCTTCTCAGCTAGCAAGCCTGCAGTTAATAGAATATAGAAATCCCTAATCCCACTTTTAGCTGGCTTAAAAAAAAAGAAGGGAGAGGTGAAGATGAAAAAAGAGTCTTAAAGAAAAGCAAAAATGCAGTAATTCTTGTCTTGATCCCAAGAACATTGAAGAGAAAATTCAAGCAAGTAATCAAGGGATATTTTGGGGCCTCTCCAGTTGACACACCTTGTCACACAGTTAATGACAACAAGGTCTTTATGATAACAAAGACATAAGCAGGAAAAAACTCTGGCCTAGATCAGAGCTGTAAATTAGGGCAACTCTTGCTAAACAGGTGTTTGATGATCGTTAACCTCTCTAGAGGAAAGGCTTATAAACAATTTTAAGTATACCCTGTTTCAGCACTGGCTAACTTTGGATTTTACAGGAAATAAGTAAGATCCGTTACGAATGAAACAAAAGATACACAAGGGCCGATGACTTATTCAACGTACTTATCCTCATGTACAGAGAGGGGAAAATTTAATGATGTACAGAGAGCAGACAAATTAGTAAAATCAGTCTGAGAGACAAGGGTGTTGTTCAGCATTCCCCTCATCAGATACAAACACATACAGGAATATTGTTACCTCTGTGCAGAACTATATGGTCAATCATGTTGCGTTTATATTTGGTGTGATATAGGCAAAGAGGACAGCGAAGGTCTTTGGGTCCTTCCTCAGGAACTGCCGAATGCCCAGCTTCCACGTGCATAGTAAAAGCAGATCTGTGAAACAGGAGGGAGAAATGGAAGCAGTCAGAAGAGGTGTGCAGGGAACGATGAAGTGTCACAGCTCTATAAGGGACGTGTCATGTAAAGTGGCACAGATACCACTCAGCCTTGTCTTCACAGTGCCACGTGGCATTTCAGCAGGGCTACTCACATGAGTAACACATGAGCAGAGGTATTTGCAGGCTTGTATCCTCAAGTAACCAACATTCATTCTGACAAGATATTCTTTTGCATGAGTTGCTCTACTGTAAGTTACAGTCACATTGCTATAGTTAAGATTGCAAAAGAATTCCCATCTTTCGTGCTCATTATTTGTCTTCAGCCTGAAATATTCAGTGTAGTTTCTCTGACAAAGATTAAAATTTTAGCAAGTTTAACAAAAACTATCAACTGTTCTGGACTTGCAAAGATGAGGACAGACTTACTTCTGGAGGCAGATAACATCCTTAACAACCTCTGTCCTCACAGAACAAGTCCAAAACCCACTACAAAGTTTAAATTCAGGACACAAAAGAGACTTGCATTCACAGTGAGTTTGGCACTGGGTAGTTAACTTCGAAAGCATCAGCTATAAGGATCTGGAAACCCAAGACTAAGAATACTCTACTTACCATTGTGGAGGAATTAATGAATACTCCACAGTACTTTTGAACAAAAAAATTCACGCTGGCATTACATGGTTGCATACGTAGAAGTTGCAAGAGACATGCAGACAGAAGAAATTAATGGTACACCTCTCTAACCATAAGCTCAACTACTGAAATGAAAAGTTCTTCAAGACTGTTAGCTTCAACATAAAGCAACTTCCTAATACAAATGGGCCCAGTCCCGAGATCACTGAATTCTACAGGTATATTTCCACTCACTTCAGTAAGTGCTTTCATGCATCTAAGTTCCTACGGTGAGTTGAAAACAAGGTTATTATGGGGTGGTTTTGCCCCCTCTATGGTTTTTTTTAAAGACAGAAAACATGCTGTGCTTCTAAAAGAAGCAATATTTAATCCCTGAATGTTTGAGACATCACATGAAACAACATATGCAACTGCAAACGTGTTTAAATGCTGCTTGATTTAAGATGATTTAATTTCATTCATACAGAAGAAAATGGCACTCACACAATATTCAGAGACTGAATGGGCCTGGCAATCTTTACAACAGATAGCAGTCAGGATAGAATGCACAAGCAGTAAACTTTACCACGGAGGCAGCAAGGCAATGAAGCAACAGAGGCTAGAGACATGCAATTAGAGGTTGCTCTTTGAATTCTCCCAGGTTTGCGTTCAGCCTTTTATTCAACAGAACAACTCCCCTTTATCCAGTCACATCGCTTATTGACAATGGTCTACCAAGAGCGGGTTTGAGACCTCAAATACAAGTGAAAGGTGTTAAGCTTGAGGGTCCAGCATATCAGGAGGAAATGATGAACAGCACAGGCGTACACCCCTTTTTTTTCTTTTTCCTTAGAGAACAACAGCTAAACACACACACAAACACACATAGTACCAAGTTTTTAAATTTTGCACATCTAACTGAATTATTTGAAAAGTCTCTATATGCTGTTGGATATGCTAGAGAATGCTTCGCATTTCAGCTAGATAGATAGTGGGAGAAATAAAATTACATGGAGGGGTTTCCTCAGAAAGTTGTTATAAATTCTCCTGTCTTTCTAGGACACTTGACTGTCCATGCTTCATGCTGGTTGCACCAGGAAATGACCTTATTTTTGCAGAGAAAAAACACTTGAGGATAAAGGACTACCTGTAACTTTCCTTCAGCAACTAAACTGGCACTCAGCTGGACCTGTTTGTGAACAGAGAAGGACTTACAGGTGATGTGATGGCTGGAGGCCATCTTGGGCATAGCAATCACAAACTGATAAGGATTTTTTGATAACAAGGCAATTACAGAGGGGGCTCAGCAGAACTGCTTCCTTGGGATTCTAGAGGGCAGACTTCATCCTGTTTAGGAGCCTGGTTGACAAAGTCACTTGGGAGGCAGTCCTGAAGGGCAAAGGAGTCTAGGAAGACTGGATATTCTTCAGGAAAGAAAACTTAAAGGTGCGTGAGCAGGCTGTACCCATGTGCTGAAAGATGAGCCAGAGAGGAAGACTAGCTTGGCTGGAACTCAGGGAAATAAAGAGAATGTTGGATGTTATCAAAGAGAATGTTGTGAGGTTATGTATGAAGAAAATTAGAAGGGCCAAAGCCTGGCTAGAAATTAATCTGGCTACGGCCGTAAAAGACAACTAAAAATGTTTCTGTGAATACATTAGCAACAAAAGGAGGGCTAAGGAGAATCTCCATCCTTTTATTAGAGGAAGGGGGAAACACAGTGACAAAGGATGAGGAAAAAGCTGAGCTGCTAAATGCCTCCTTTGTCTCAAGTCTTTAATAATAAGACCAGTTGTTCTCTGGGTACCCAGCCCCCTGAGCTGGTAGACATAGCCAGGGAGCAAAAGGAAGACCCCATAATCCAAGGTAAAATGGTCAGTGACCTCCTACACCACCTAGACAAGCAAAAGGACTGGATGTGATCCACCCAAGGGTACTGTGGGAGCTGGTGGAACAGCTCACCAAGCTACTTCCAATTATTTACCAACACTCATGGATAACTGTAGACGTCCCAGTAAACTGGAGGTTAGCAAATCTAGTGATACCCATCTACAGGAAGGAACAGGAGAAGGATCTGGGGAACTACAGGCTTGCCAGTATGACTCAATGCTGGGCAAGTTTATGGAGCAGATCATTTTGAGTGCCATCACATGGCATGTACATGACAACCAGGCAATCAGATCCAGTCAGCACGGGCTGAATGAAAGGCAGGTCCTGCTTGACTAACCTGATCTCTTTTTGTGACAAAGTGACCCGTTAGTGGATGAGAGAAAGGCTGCGGATGTTGTCTACCTCGACTTCCGTACAGCCTTTGACACCGTTTCCCACAGCATTCTCCTGGAGAAAACGGCTGCTCAGGGCTTGGGCGGACGTACCCTTGTAAAACTGGATGTATGGCTGGAGCCAGAGAGTGGTGGTAAATGGAGTTCAATGCAGTTGGTGGCTGGTCACAAGTTCTGCTCCCAAGGGCTCAGTATTGGGGACAGTTCTGTTTAATATCTTTATCAGTGATATGGATGAGAGGATTGACTGTGCCCTCAGAGATTTTGCAGATGACACCAGGCTGGGTGGGAGTGTTGATCTGCTTGAGGGCAGAAAGGCTCTAGAGAGCGATCTGGACAGGCTGAATCAATGTGCCAAGGGCAGCTGTATGACGCTCATCAAGGCCAAGTGCTGGGTCCTGCACTTAGATCACAACAATCCCCTGCAACACTACAGGCTTGGGGAGGAGTGGCT